AATATTAAAAGGAGCAACAATGGGAATGTATTTGTGAGTGTATCTGAGAGGATACAATCAGTGTTCTGCAGAGCTCAGTAATCCTTTAATAGACCAAGGCAATATGATGAGGGAGAGGAGAGAGAAATTAGACTCTGGGGAGATGACTGGCTATAGTTAATAGGTCACAGACTTTGGTGAATATGTACTGTAGTAGAATCTAAGTCAAAGTGATGAAACATTTACAAGGTCTGAGCAAGGTAGAAAGGGATGGGGGAAGTTTTAAAGAGTATACAATTCAGAAGTCCTGTTTTGGCAGGAATGTGAATGCTCAATAACTGAGACAGGTCCCAAAGGGCAAAGAAAAAAATTGAAAATACAGTCCGACAATTTCAAGAGCAACTAATGATTTTTGGGGGCCACATCTGAGAAGTTTTATAGAAGTCTGATTTTCAGAACGAGTGATCAGCACATTCTGAATATCAAGGCAACCAAATTGCCAACCTCTGCTAAAAAAAAAATTTGGCTAAAAGCTTTTCTTGAAATGCACACAAAATGTATAAAGTCACAAAGTAGGGCACCATATACAGCAGTAAAAATAAAAGAGCACAAAAAGAGGAAAAATAAGTCTTCTCTGAATCAAAAGTAGGATTTATGAAAGTGGTCACAAATGAAAAAAAAGTGAATGCAGTAGCAAAAATACACTTCTGTGAAATTTCAAGCATCTGGACAGATATGGTATTTGACCCTCAGAATCCAAGAAGAAATATTTCTGATGGATCTGTCACAATGTTGAATAAGGAAAACTCATTTAAAAAGACTGAATTAGGAAGGTATAGAATATTCCTAAAATATGTAACAGCACTGTTGCTATAACAGATTTCTCATCAGAGCTGTCCTAGCTAATCTGAATAAATAGAGCTGATAACATTACTCTAGACTTATGCTCCTGTAATGGAAAAAGTAAGTTAATAAATCTTGTTTATTTTCCAGACAGGAAAACTGCAAGGTTAAAGTTCCAAACATTTAAGTTTGTGATTAACTACTGTTGAAATCACTGAGTGTGTCTACACATTCATTAATGTGCTTTTGCTACTGTGCATTAAATTTAGTACCTCTGCTGTGAGGTACTAATTAAGGTGCCCTAATTAGGTTTCTAATTATCTAATTAGGTGCCCTAATGCACAGTAGCAAAAGTACATGTTTTTTTTAGTGATGCTTAATGCGCAGTAGCCTAACTTTACCACACATTAGTATATTAGCACAGTTTTTGATATGATGCTGTAATGTACAGGAAAATAAGCTACTGCACTTAAAGCGCACATGTAGATGTGTCCACTGAGACTAAAGAATGTTAGACACTTATTTAAATGCTTTGATAAATTGGAACCCAAGTGATTTCCCCAGTGTCACACAGAATTAGTGACAGAACTGAAATAGAAACTTTTCATGCCTACACTCTTTGTCTCAGGCTTATGCTGCTGGAGAATTCTGGCTGTTCAAAAAGCACTGAGTCTAATACTGAGTTAAAGAAAAGAAATGTCAAGAAAAAGGCACTGCACACATGTCCTTTTCTGTCCCTTATCTGCCTCATAGGGAATAAAGTTTTCACCACTTCTGAAAACTTTTATAATGACTTTAAAGGCTTCAGCTAGGGTTACCATAAATTCAGGTTTTCCTGGACATGCCACCTTTTTGGATCCTCCCATATCCGTCCAGGCAGTTTTTTAAAATATCAGCAAATGTCTGGGATTTTGCTTTACTTCTGCTTTTTCAGCACTTCCTGGCTTGCCCTAGCAAGGAGCTGCTTGGGGTTGGGGGCATAAGGGCAGGGTGATTGGAGGCAGGGCCATCATGTGTGTCTGCACATGGCCCTGGCAGCTGCACACAGGTAAGTCTGTGGGGGGCAGGGGTTGGAGGGCCAGGGCTTGTGGGGCTGTGAGGAGTGTGTGTGTGGATATGAGTGGCTGCCAATGCTGGGGCTGGCACAGGGCGAGGTGGTGGGGGAGGTGCCTGCCTCTCTGGTGGGGAAGGGGGTGGTGGTTCTTAAGGGGCAGCATGGAACTGCATGGGCAGCAGGGCTCGGGGGGACAGGCTGCTCCCCAAGCAGATTGAGAGTGAGAGGCACCAACAGGGTGGGGGGGGGAGGGTGTACTGTGCCTTGAAGGTGAGGGGCAGGGCACACTGCCTGCACCCCCCAAATCATATATCCCCCCACTGACAGGTATTCTCTTTATTAAAACTGGAAATATGATAACCCTTCTTCAACAATACTTTAAAAAGGAGACTCTACATCAAAATGTAGTTATTTTCAGTACCTCTAAATTGCAAATTTAATTTCAAAAGTTCATGAAGATAAATAGGAAAATGGTGTACAAAGCTAAGCTCCATAAGGGAAGAGGTGTGAAGAAAAGGCAAACAAAAGGGCTGGCTTTTCAAAGTGTCCTCCTTTATTGCAGGCACAATATGCCAATCCCAAGGAGAGAGACTGGGTTGAAAATCTGAAAATAGCAGTGGCCGCTATTTTTGCATCTCCACAGCAACTCAGTGCCCAGAGTTGGTGTCCCAGTTGCGCTGCTCCCTCCTGTTAGCTCTGCTACTTCCTTTGACAGTGTTCCTAACTCTTTGCATAAGTAAAACAGGTTATCTGCTTTGGGGATGAACCCATCACTGGGGAAGGACTACCATCTCTTTTGTTCAATAGTGTGAATAGCAGAGTCATGTGTCTGATGCTTTCTTCTCAGGTACTGAACATAAAACTTTTGCTCAGAAATATAAGTTTGGTGACAATTGACACAGTACATAGTGACAATAGCAGGAATTTCTTCTTGCTACTTGCACCTGGCAGAACAGCACCTAGAACACAGTTTATTTGAGACTGAATACACTCCCCACCAAACTATGCCTTTTAAACAGAAAAGTCTGGGAAAACCGAGGTAGAAGGAAGGTCTCTTAGCAGAGAGCCCTGGCACAGGATGTCCTTGTACCACTTTCAAATGGTGGGGAGGAACCAGCTGGCTTAGCCAAGTACCATTTTACACATGCACAAGGAATGAAATCAAACAAATCCTTGCATCTTCTTGAAAATTAAGGGGTACAGACAAGGGCCTGGAAGTACAGAGCAAGACTTCACAGAGAGAGAGTCCACAAAGCCGTCTGAAGTCAGCTACAGAGGCCCAGTACATGAAAGTATGGCAAAAAAGATCATTACACTTCCAGAAAAATTATGTTTCTACAGCTGTAGTCTGACCAAAGCCAAAAGAGGTGGAGAGACCACCCATTCCCCTCCCTGAGAGAAAAGCTTTATAACTGAAGGACGGAAAGAAGTAGAACAGAGCACGAATACTTCATACTTTCAGCACTGATGAAAATTTCTTTCAGTCTATGATGGGGACCTAGGAGTGAAGGGAGCACAGATTTAATCTCCTCTATGCCATAGATTTGCAGTAGGATGCTGTTTAATTGCTGTGATCTTGATGGCCTAGCCATAATTGATTACAAGACACGGTGAGAAGGATTGAATGCTGATCTGGTTAAATTTACAAGCAGAGAAGAATGGAAAAGCTCTGTTGTATCCAGAATAATAGGACCTCAGCCTTCTTTATATCACTTCAGCAAAACAATTGAAACACGAGACATAAGAAGATCGACTTCTGTTTCCCAAGCTTTTGAAACTCTCTTGGTAGAACAGCTCAGGGCTGACAACCTTTTCTGTCATCTCAAAAGATTTCAATTAACCTCCAGCAATGGAAGAAAGACCAAGAGGCCTGAAGCGCAGCTGACTAAAGAAATGCCTGGAGTGGGTGATCACGAGAAAATCTCCATCTGAATAACCTCTCAGCAAAACCAAACAAAGCCACAAAAACTACTTTTTGATCCTGCCCAGTGACTTGCTCATGTCAAAAATGGCCAAGGACCTAGAGAAGATGTTTAGCTTCTTGTTTGATATGGACTCCACACAGGTGGGCTGTGATAATAGCTTTGGGCCATGCACTTCATGGAACTCCATTTCCCAGTTACAAAGGATATTGGCAGGGGTTAGTCAGGACCAGGGATCCTAATTTTCCCTGGGAAAAAAAAGCAAAAAAATCTCCATTAACCCCCCCCTCCCCAAATTCACATTTTCCCATGACCTATTGAAAGCACAGCAGTGTCCCACAGCAAGCAGCACCATTTCTGCTCTTTTTTACTTTTTGCTGCAGTTTTTGCCTCTCAGCCAATCAGCAGCATATGCTCCCTGCCGGCCGCCCCTGAAGCAAACACAATATAACTTCATTATAATAAGTTAAAAACAATCTGCAGGGCTGTAGAATAGAAGCTTCACTACCAGGAGCAGCTAACCAGCAGCAGAATAGCAAAACAAGGGCTACCTTCATTGGTGAAACATCAACACCATTAAAATGAAGACAGTCATTCACACCTGTGGAATAAAGAGTTTAGAAAGGGTAGATTATAAGGAGCCATGAAGTCAATTAGCACTGCCTGACCAGAAATGCTGCTGCCCTTGGCAGGTATTTGGTTTTAAATTTTGGGTGGAGCAGGAACCAAAGGGAGGTGGAAGTGCTATATCCACAAATTAATATTAGGTTTCCTACAGCCTAGCTGCCATCACCTTTCTTAATCACATCCTTTCAGTTCATTGTCTTGCTCAGGAAAAGAAACATAATTTGGGTATTTGCCACTGCTACCCTCCCCCTCCAAGCACAAATTCAGTGTGGATCCTCTATATGCAGGTGGGGCTTCCTGCTTTGCTCTGCCCCTTCTGCTACTCATAATAATCCTTCCAATCCCTCAGCCCTCAACCCCAGACCTTGGTGGCTATGCTCCTCTTCTGCTGTCTTCTATCCTTCAGAGTGATCATCACAAAAGCCATGTGAAGTTCCCAATTCATTCCTTTGCAGACTTCACAGCATCTGGGATCCAAGTACAGATAGTGTGCCAATGCTCAAAAGACATTATTTCAGAAGGCTGCTGGGTCTGCTGTAATTAGGCCTCGCAGCAATAGTAAATCATGACATGAGTATTTTTCTTTCTGTTTATTTGCTAGCACATAGTCATTGCTCCTACAAATATCATACATTAGAGCGATGCTAGTTCCACCAGCAACCATTTCCTTCCTCCTTCCAAAACCAGCAGCTATAAGACTGACCATAATAAAGCTGTCAAGGGATGAACTGGGAGAATAGGTAGAAGATAGCAAAGGACTCTGAGTCACTGTCAGATTTAGCCAAACTGTGTCTTGCTATATCCAGACACCAACCTCAAAAATCCTGCTAAAAGAATGGCAAAGATGTTTAGAGAATTACCAAGAACTGAGGAATCGTGTACTCATTCAAACCACGATTCCCTTCATTGTTTCCCTTATGTGATGGTTTTGTCCCTCTTTTTTAAAAAATTGCATTCCCCAGTCCTCAGGGCTAAAATTCAATGTATGTTTCAAATTAAGTTGTATAATGGAAGAAACTGCCTTTCTTTTTGCCTGAAACAGAACAGGTGCATTTCCTTGTATGTATTCACTCCTATCATCCCAATCAGAATGTACATAATCTTAGGCAAATAATTAACTCGCATCCTATCACTCTGATTAGCGTTATTCAGATTATGTCAGTAAATTCATTGGACAGTTTTGATTTCTGAATAGAAAAAAGGCATTACCTGCAGAAACTATTATCCTTATCCAATTAATTCTGATTGATGGCTCCCCAAGTGTCTGCTGTGATTAGTGTTGGCCACCTTCATACCTTGCTCCAGTCATATGGTATTGTTTCATCCTTTGATGGATGGTAGTCTGGGGCAAAGGAGGAAGGCTTTAATAAGCCACTTCTGATATGAATGTTTGCACAAACGAATCCATGCAAGCACTTGTACCACTGCTAGTGATTTGTGGAGAATTCATAATACTGTCTTCCTGTGATCATTCTTGCAAACAAGTACCAGTTGTACAGATTTGCAAAGTCAATTTAAAGGGACACAGCCACTGAAGCGAACTTACCAAGTATATTCAAATAAGTGTTAATACTTACATTTTTATATATTCCTTTTACACCTTCTCCTAGCCGTACTAGAGCAAAGAACAATAATAATGTCCCCAAATGAGCATCATTTAAGTGTTAAATATTAGTGTCCCGGGGAACCGGGACAGGACTTACCTGTGGCGGCAGAGAAGCCCACGCGGGGCGTCTGCCACGTGTTTACGCCGACGCGACCGGAAGTCAGCGTCGGCACCGGCAGACGGCCGCCGGGGATAAAAATGGCCGCGGGGAAGGAACAGGAGGGGGAAGGAGCTGGGGACTCCTCACCCACGGAGGCTGGAGGCCCCGAAAGGGAACGGGCCACGGGCCCCACCCTAGGAGGGGCGAGGCAACCCTGACCAGGACGAGCCGTCAACCGCTCCACACTTGGAGCCAAGGACTCCGGAGCCAAGCGAACAGCAGACTTCCCAGAGGACGAGGCAGGGAGCTCCGGCGGTGAGCTGCTACCGGCCCCGATGGCGAGGAAGATACCTGCGACGACCAACCGCAGGACAACGATGGAGGAGCAGCAGACGGGCTCCGAGGACGAGGAACCCAGCGGAGAGGACTTCTGGGACTGCAAACCTGAAACTTACGAGGCTTGCAGGTTCAGGGCTGGGATGCTGGTGCAGGGATGCGACACTGCCTGAGAGGGTCAGGACCCCGAAGGGCCCTAAGGAGGCACAGAGGGGTGGAGGCTGTTGCCATCCTGACCACGCGCATGGACTAAGTGTGCGGCAGGGTCTCTCCCAGCAGGGGCTGTGGAGGGTCCGGGCCGGAGGCCCAGCCAAAGGGGCCAAAGGGCCAAGCTTTCAGTTCCGTTCAGGTTTTTGTTTCCCAGTAAAGGGATACCCCGGCTGAGGGGTACAGCCGGGGCGATAGGGCCAGGGACCCCATAGCGAAACTCGATTCTCTCCGGGACCCCACCTTGGGTCAACCGGCATACAAGGGACCTGACGACAAGGGCCGATTGGGCCGGAGGGGCAGTAGGAGGGCAGTCCCTCAGTCGCAGGAGCACGAAAAGAGGCGTAAGGCTGGGGTGCAGGGGGTGGTGGAGCCCCGCATCGTGACTGCCGAGGGATCACGGGCCGCGGAGTACCCAGGAACCGTCCTAACTGAACTTAACAACAAGTCGTGGCGGGAGAGAACTAGGGCGGGGAATGGACGTCAGAACAACCACTCCCACTCAGTGGTAACTCAGGGACATCGGGGGCGGTCCTCCTCCCACAGACGAGCGACCTACGGGGAGGACCCCAGCCCGGTGGTCACAATTAGAAGAACAGAGATCCACCTAGTTGCAGTCACACTACAGAGAAAAAGAACTACATCACTACAGAGAAGGAGTTGCATCCTCTTCATAATGCTGCAGCACCAGCAAATATATGGGGTTGCTACATCACTGCTACGAAGAGTTGACTGAGCACCTATGAACTGGGGCTCAGCCCGCACTTCCCCTGAATCCAAATACTGCTCTGGAGCTGGGCTGTGAGTTAGTGCCAGATTTATTCAGTTTCCGAAAAAAAGTTGACTTTTTTCTAGCTACCAGTCCAGGGCTTGGATTTGGGAGTCAAGCTGTGTTTTCTAGACTCTAAGACTACCTATACACATGCTCAAAGGTAGGGATTGGGCAGGGGGAGGGGGAGGAGCATTTTAATTAGAGCGGTTTCCTGCCACCTTCTCTAATTAAAATGCCACAGCGCCATGTGTATTAAGCCCCTTCACATTTAAAAATGGCTGTGGAATGGTTTGTTGCACCTTGTTTGAGCAGGTTTAGTTAAACCACATCACAGCCATTTTCAAATGTGCAGGAGCGTAATACATGTGACACTGCGGCGATGCTGCAGCGCTGTAACTGGAATGTGTCAGAGCAGGTGCACAGGCAACCTGATGTGCCGCTGCTTTCAGAGACTGTGAAGCAGGCAATGGACTCAGTCATGCCTGTGCATTGTCCAGGAGCTCAGCTGGTCCTACACGGGTGACAGGAGCAACCAGTACAATGGTCTGATTGTTGTCACTAACCAGAGTAGCTGAGATTTTAAGGGTATGTTGAGACTGCTTTTGTGACTGCCACCGCCAGCAATCCCTGAAGGACTGTGGGACGGCCTCTGGTTTCAGGAAGCAACTCTGCAGAAGGCATTGAGGGACAGAGGAGTATGATTCCTGCCTCAGGGAAAGTGTGGCGTGGTTTCGGTCAGTAGCATGAAAGGACACTCTTCTAATCCAAGGCATGGGCATGGGGGTCTTCAAAAGGAGGCTGGTCATTTGACCCCAGCATCCTTTCCTGCCCATGGCAGGGGGTTGGACTAGATGATCTGCTTAGGTCCCTTCCAACCCTACCAACTATGAAACTTTGAAATGATGGTTGTTACCCGAGTTCCTGCCCTGGCCATTGGTTCAGAGACTCTGCTTTCTGTGCTAATCCACCTGTAAGTAGGACACGAGGTCTGTGCAGTAAAGACTTTCAGAGCCAGAATAAGCTTTGTCTAAGCTAAAGGAAGATCTGTCTCGGAAGACTTATGCCAGCCTCTGTGAGGCTAAAATCAGTCTTTGGAAGCTGGACCGAGTATTTGTGCCAAGCTCCTGGGCTCCGATGAGTCTTTATATGCTGGGAGAAGCTTTCTTAAACTCTTATACTTGTTAATCTTCAGGCAATCAGCAACAACTGATAGGGAAAGACTAACCGGACATGGTTCCTAATTTAAGCTGAGGCCTCGAGGTGTACAGCCACATACAATACTGTATTTACTCATATTGAAGATAAACCTGAATTTACGATGACCCCCCCAAAATTAGATTCTATATATGGAAAAATAATAAATGTGTTATAATTGTCCATGTATAGAATCTAATTATTGTTTCCTTCTAAATTTGTTTTGCTTTTCACTTACTGGTCTCATAGTAAAACCCATACTCGTCTATTGATGTGAGATACATTCAGCCCCCCACCCCGCCCAGTTGCTGCAGGGGGGCAGGCAGTAGGAGAACAGGTGATGTGGGGAGGTTAAGCAGCTTTCCCCCTGCTCACGCCTGTCCCCCTGCTACCTCTGCCCCCTACCCACTCCCCTTTCCCCTATGCTCCCCCTCCTGCCAGCCTCTGCCCCCCTTCCCCCCCAGCCTCATCTTCCCCACTTCCCACCCCTTTCCTCGTTCCACACCAGCAGGCTTCGTACCTGTTCTAGCCTGGGGCACTGAGCATGGCCCCAGTCCTACCCCTGTAGCAGCCATGTGGGCTGTGTGCCACTGCTGGGGGGGCCGAGCTGGGACTGTGCTCAGTACCCCAGGCTGCAGCATGCATGGAGCCTGCTGGTGCAGAGCAAGGGGAAGGGGGATAGGGAAAGGGGCAGGCAAGGGAACAGAGGTTGCATGGAAAGAGGGGAGATGGAGGGAAGAGGCTTCAGGAGAGAGATGGTGGGGTCCAAAGTTGGCAGGGGTAGGGGGAAGGCATCAGCTGCGGCAATGGCCCCAACACCTGGTAGTGGCTGGAGGCTGAGCCACAGCAGCCACCTGCCCCCATATTCAATTCTAAGACAAAGGACTTTGCCCCGCCCCCCACAATGTTAAATGGGGACAAAAAGCTCATCTTAGAATCAAGTAAATACACTAATAGGATGCCACACTTTTATGTTTCATAGTTTCTAGGGTTGGAAGGGACCTGAGCAGATCATC